AAGGAATGTCGTCTTGACATCCATTTGATGGATCACTAGATTATATACCGAAGCCATTGCAATCAATAACCTTATGGAGGTAATTCTTGCAACCGGTGCATAGGTATCGAAATAATCAACACCATGCTTTTGCCTAAAGCCTTGGATAACCAATCTGGCTTTAAATTTCACTATGGAGCCATCTGGTCTCCTTTTCCTAGTGAAAATCCACTTGCAACTAAGAGGTTTGCAACCGGGAGGTAAATCCTCTATGACCCAAGTATTATTTCCCATGATGGAATCCATCTCATCATTTATAGCTTCCTTCCAAAATGCACTATCTTGGGAAGATATGGCCTCGCTATAAGTCTTTGGGTCACTATCCACATTGAAACAATATGGAGTAGTGGAACTAAGGACATCCCTAGACCCTTCAACTAAATATATTATGAAGTCATCTAGGGGATTCCTAATTTTCCTTTGTCTCTTACTTCTTCTAACATGAGGAGTCTCATCCTCATTATTAGGAGAACGTTCATGAGATTCAAGTTGATCATCATAATCAACAATCTCCTTTCCTTTGGCACTAATTTGTAGATCCTTAGGTCTACTCATTGATGAAAAACGATTTTCATCAAAAATTGCATCTCTTGACTCAATAACCGAATGAATCGATATATAGTCATTTTGTTCTATTACATAGAACCTATAGGTTTTGTTATGCTCAGCATAACCTATAAATATGCAATCCAATCCCCTTTCACCGAGCTTTCTTTTCTTGTTGCTAGACATTCTTACGATTGCCCTACAACCCCAAACCTTGAGATGCTTCAAGTTTGGCTTTATTTTGTACCAAAGTTCATAAGGAGTAGATTCTTTTCCCTTAGTGGGAACCCGGTTAAGAATGTGACAAGCAGTCAACATTGCTTCACCCCAGAACCCCTCACTCAAACCAGAGTAAGATAACATGGAATTAACCATTTCTTCAAGAATTCTGTTTTTCCTTTCAACTACACCATTTGATTGTGGTGCATAACCAGTTGTAGTCTCATGAATTATACCCAATGATTGGAAATAAGCAGGATCATAATATTCCCCTCCCTTATCAGTTCTAATCTTCTTAATAAATGATTCTACTTGTAGTTCTACTTCTCCTTTATATAAATATCAAACTTTGTCAAAGCTTCATCTTTGGAATGCAAAAGATAAACATAACAAAACCTATAAAAATCATCTATAAAAGTAATCATGTATCTTTTTTTCCCCAAAGAAGGAGTACTATGAAAATCACACAAGTCACTATGGATCAGTTCTAAAATATTAGAACTTCTCTCAACTCTCTTAAAAGGAGTTCTAGAGATCTTGTTCAACATACAAGTAGAACATTTATTAGAAGAAATATCACAAGGTGAAATTAACTCTAGTTTAGACATGAAATTCAACTTATTGAAATTAACATGACCTAATCTAGAATGCCATAAATAAAACAAATTCACACCATTGTCATTATCAACATTAAAACAAACATCATCCATCATTACAAACTTCTCTCTTAACGAGAGTTTAAACAATCCATGAGTTAAATAACAACGTCCAACAAAAGTGCTACCTCTAGTAATAATACATCTATCTGCTTCAAATACTAGTTTATATCCAAGTCGATTCAGGGTAGGGCTTGATACAAGATATCTAGAGATATCCGAAGCATATAGTACATCCCTAAGAATGATACCATTGCCCGAACTGAACATTAGCTCAACTTGTCCTCTTCCTTGGACCATGATGGAAGAGTTGTTCCCCATATAGAGCTCTTCAACAACAACCTTGTGAAAGGTTTTGAACCAATGATTCACCTTGCATACATGCCTTGAAGCCCCTGAATCCATCCACCATGAGTCATCATCCTGTACCATAAAAATGTTAGGATCTGTTGCATTTAAATCCATACCGGAATTAAACTCAACCTCATGTAAAGGATTACCTTTGAGAGTTGGGTCCTTGCTACTAGAAGCATGGCCCTCCTTGGATTTCTCCATTTTCTTCTTGAAAATGTAGCAGTCCTTCTTGCGGTGTCCAGTTTTACCGCATTCCCAACAAGCAAACTTGTTGTTGTCCTTCTTTTTCTTGGACTTTCCTTTGGAAGAATTCACATTCTTCCTTTTTCCACTAGTTGAAGCACTAGATTTACCCTCTTCCACCACATTAATGGTGGAAGTTCTAGGATTCCCATCCTTAGCATTCTCCATGGCCCTAATCCCTTCTTCAACTTGAAGATGGGTAGCCAAATCAGACAAAGATATGTCTTCCTTTTATGTTTTAGTTCATGTTTAACATCTTTCAAACTAGTAGGTAGCTTATCAATGATACTTGAAACAACAAATAGTTCATCAACATTAATTCCATGTTGTTTCAAATTACCATAAATACGTTGTATCTCATGAAATTGATCCATGATGGACCTACTATCAACAAACTTAAAATTATTGAAATTACTTACAAGGAACTTCTTGCTCGAAGCATCCTCCGCCATATATTTGCTCTCCAAAGACTCCCATAATTCTTTAGCAGACTCAACATGTTGATACACATCAAACAAGTCGTCCTCCATCCCATTGAGAATATGACCCCGACAAATAAAGTCATCATTATCCAAATTTGATTTCTCACGAACATCTTCCATTGTTTCATTCTCATGTTCTACAGGCGTAGGAGTACTAATGACATAGGCAACCTTCAACGAAGTAAGAAGAAAATACATTTTCTTCTTCCAACGTCGAAATTCCACACCATCAAACTTCTTGAGTTTGACAAAATTAGTGGTAAGTTCTTTCACCTTAGACATGATTCTAAATAATCACTTTGATTGTTAGCTTTTCAGCAATTCTACACAATAGGAATTACTTAAAATTGGTGGAACAAAACCTATGTAGTGTATAATTCAATAAAATTATACAATAATCAATACTAGTTAAAGTATTACAATCCAAGCACCAAAATATCAAAGTAATCAGAAAATTACAAGGAAAAACTCTAATGTAAAAGATACTAAAACTTGCCTCTACTCCAAGCCAATGAAATCACCAAGAACATGAGAATACAATGGACAACGTGAGTCTTCAATACCAGATACTTGTCTAAGGCGTGTAAACACTTTCCTAAAGTGATTATTTACCCCACCACGGTGCTTGGGTTGAAACCAGAAAATCACTTTGAGATACAATAGACAACACTACAATCTTTGCACTTAGATTTGTAGTAAGATGATCAAATTCTCAAAGAATAACTTAAGTGATAGAGATTTCTATAAGAGATTGCAAGTTTCTTAGAGAAAAGTGTGAAGAAAAGTAAAACTTGGAGAGGAAAATCAGAGAGCAAAAAACCAGAACTTACGTTCTTCTTTTAATTTCGCAATTAAAAGAATAAACAAAATCGCAACTGCCAGGTGGCGCGGGCGCACCCCAAGGAGGAGCGGGCGCTCCTCACGAAAACTGCGAAATTTCTGAAGGAAGACAGTGAGGGGCGCGGTTTAGGCGCGACTAGCAGCGCGGGCGCGCCAACCAGGACGCGCGGGTACGCCAACTGCCGCGCGGGCGCGCCATCTCACCCTTCCAATTTGCCAATTTCCAGAGAGGTGCGCGGTTTCGGCGTGCTCTCTGCGCGGCCGCGCCTAACTTGCGCGGCGCTCTTTCATGGTTGCGATCGCGCAAACCATCAACACTCTAAATATCTAAGAAGAGAGACCGTTGTGTTCGGGTGTATGTGGCGGTGTAGTGAGTTGTGAGACACCATCGATGGTAAGAAGATCACGGAGGGTGAGGTACTCTCCACCATTGTCAAAGTAGAGAGTTTTGAGGGGGAGTTGGAAATATTTTTCGACTAGTGCTTTAAAGCGAAGAAACACATTTTTTGTATCGGACTTTTGATTTAAAGTATAAAGCCAAATATATTTGGAATAGTGATCAACAAAGATTAGATAGTACTTGAAATTATCATGAGAGTAAACAGGCGAAGTCCACAAATCCGTGTAGACGAATTCTAGTGGAGCATTAGAAGTAATAGAGGAGATAGAGAAAGGAAGTTTGTTGCTTTTTATTACAAGCACATGAATTACAATCTAGAGTAGAAAAATTGGATAAATTTAATTTATTTTCTGAAACAAGAAGATTAAAAATTTTCTTAGACGGATGACCTAAACGATGATGCCAAGCTATGGAGGAAATTGTGCTTGTGTAGACTGACGGGAAATGAGAGGAGAGCTCATAGATGTCACGATTAGGTTTCCCTTGAAATAGCACTTTCGCCGTTGAAAGGTCCTTCAAGAAAAATGAGTTTGATGAGAAAGATATAGAGATATTATTGTCAAGACAAAGTTGTGAAAGAGAAATTATATTTTTAGTGATGTTAGGAACTACTAAGACATTTGTGAGTTTGACAGAGGAGAAATAGCAAGAACCAATGTGAGTAATGGATAGACCCTTACCATCACCCACTATCAACTCTTCAGTCCCGTCATAGGGGGCATGAAGAGCTAGGTTGTTCAAGTCATTTGTAACGTGATGCGACGCCCCACTGTCTAGTAACCATTGGTTGGAGGGAGGGTGAGCAGTAGACAATGTAGAGGTGTGTGCTTGCGGTTTAAAGGAGGGATTGGGTTGGGAAGAGGAAGAAAAACGTGGAGGGGGAGGGGAGACTGTAGGGAATTGCTTGGTGAACAAAGGACAGTGTGCAACAACGTGGCCTTGTTCACGACACCATTGACACTTGCCAAGAAAAGGTTTAGAGGGTTTGGAAGGGCGAGAGGAGGGAGTAGGAAGCAATCCTTTTGTGACCTGGTTTGGTGAAGCACGAGGAGTAGACTTGGTGAAAGCAGGGAAGGCCGTGGCTGGGAGGGAAGGTTCGTTGCTTGAATGGGCTTGGTGTAGGGAAAGTTCTTTATTGATTAGTTTCTCATGCAACTCTTTGAATGAGATGGGAGTGTCCCTTCCATTCACATAGTCTATGACTGACTTGTACGAGTCATCCTAGCCAGCAAGCACCTTGTCTATGAGGTCTTCATGGTCAATAGGTTTGCCAAGTACGACAAGATGGTCAGAGCACTCCTTCAACTGTCTCATATAGTCAGTGATAGAAGAAGGTCCCTTAACAATTCGGTTGAACTTGTCTTTAAGTTGCTTTATGTGGCCACGAGATGGAAGGGCGTAGGTGCTGTGAAATTTTTCCCATAATTGGGCGGAGGTCTTGGCTTGGGATATTAGAGGGACTAGGTTTTGGGAGATGGCACCAATGAGAGCACCAAATAAGAGACGGTCTTGACGAGTCCAAAACGTGTACTCGGGGTTTGGGAGTTCAGTGCCATCGATGGTGATGACAGGAGGGGGACATGGGTTGCTACCATCAGCATAGACAAAAAGGTCATGACCAACAAGTAGGGCTTCAACTTGAAGCTTCTAGGAGAGGTAGTTTCGGGGAGTAAGCTTGATGACGTTGTGCATGTTGATGACAACGAGAGGTTTTGAGGAGACAGGAAAGTTGGATAGGTAGGAGTAAGAGGATTCAAGGGTGGTAGCCATGGAAAAGTCGAGACGAGGGAAGGATCAAGGGAAATCTGATACCATGTAGAGAAAGGTAATTGAATATTTTCATTGATGATTTTCAAAAGTATTGTACAATGGTGTAAATAGAAGTACAAGAGCAAAAGATAAGTACAAGAAATAAAGATATTTACAAAAATTATCTTGTGCCAACAATATCAGTAATTATCTTAGGCTAATAACAACACCTTGGCTTCGTGAGTTCCTACAATTAAGGAGATTGATAAGCTTCAATCCTTAACAGCCAGGGGACAAAAGAGGCAAGGAAATCATTTACCTCGTTGAGATATACTTGATCGGGTAACTTACAGTTTGGGTGAGGGAAATGAAGGATAAAGTTATCGATTTTGAGGAGGCGAGCTTAAAGAGGATGTGATTGACGTTGTTCTTGAAATACTGGAAATTATTGAGGCGGATGTTCCATGGTAGAATATAAGCGTGGGTGATTTGGGTCCAAAGGTAGTACCAACGGTGGGATAACACGAAGGTGGCAGCCGCAAACTTGAGGGAATAATCGAGTGACAGAAGAGATAGTATGCTGATCAGAAGAGTATCAGGAAGGGAGCTTAATTTGTCTGTGGAGCCGCTATATTCATGCTTCTTCCCATTTTTGCGCGTGGGCATCGTGGTCAGTTAGGGTTTCAATTTAGTCGTGTAGTCAATGCCTCGCCAGTAGTCAAATATATATACGACTCACATCACAAAATCGATAGATTTTTTTAAGGGTTAAAATATTATAAATTTTAAATTTTCGATTAACTTAATAAAATTTAGCTTCCAATAAAATATTTATTAATTTTTATCAAAAAAAAAACAATCTTATACTCCTTTTAATTGGTTGTCAAAAATATCCTATTTAAATATATATATGGACATGTTAAACAATATAATCCTATTGATTTGTTTTTTGGAGTACAAAATCCTATCTTATATTCCTATTGTGAAGCCTTTTAACCAAAAAAAAATAAATAAATATATAAATAAAAAAAATAAAATAAATATTATAAAACAAAAATATGGGAAAAGTTTACTATGGATACACAAGTGACAACCATTTTTTGTTTGGGGGAAAATGTAAATAAAAATTATATTTTATTAGTCAGAAATTAAAATTGGATATTTTGATACGGAGTATTAATTACTACTCCTACTAATTCACAAAATTAATATAACTATGCCTCCTAATTAATAAAACACAGTTATACAAACATGTTACCGCTTTTAATTTTTATCCTATTAATATATATATATATACGAAGTATTTCTTTTATCAAAAGTAATCCTTTTAATTAGTTGTAAAAAAGGAAAAATAAAAATCAAGATTAATTTCTGGTATGTGCCAATTAATTATTTGAAATAGGAAAGTATACATAACTAAGGGTGCAACCGTAGAGTATAGAACTCTTCTATAGTATTTATGCGGCAATCATAAGTGCTTCAAATGTAAAGACGACAATCTGCACTAGCCTTGGTAGACAAATCCTAAAGGGAAAATGATCACAAGGGACTAGACTAGATCATCTATATATAATATATGCAATTAAGATATTAAATTAACCAATGTTAGCAAAAAGTTGAGCTTAGCGAGATAAGTGATAACACAATAATGACAATAGTGAACAAAGTATATCATATATATGGTTTTACTTTCGATAAACTTAAGAATTTAAAATCATTTAAAATCATTTAAATCTTTATTGTTTAAAATTATCAAACTTTGAACTTTCTAATGTTTTTTTTTTTTTGGTGCAAACGAGGGGCTAGGCCCCGAGGAAAAAAACTAATGCGGAACTAGACGTGGCAATGCCACCCCCACAATATCATCATACAAAATTCGACCCAACGGTAATGGGGGGACTTGAATTAACTTGATCTTGTTGTTCTGAAAAACACCTTGATTTGCTAGTCAGTCTGCAGCCCTGTTTGCTTCTCGATAAATATGATGAACTTCCACTTCCCATTTCGTATCCTCTAGCAACACTTTGCATCTATTTAGAACATGCACACAATCACCTCTGATATGTAATTACTTGCACCATTTAGAGCGTGAACTAATGCCTGGTTGTCAATTTGTAATTGAATCTTCAAGGGGTTAAGTCTAGCAGCCAACTCCAGCCCATACTCTACTGCACGAGCTTCTGCCATGAAAGCATTACACATCCCAAGCTTGAGGGAAAATGCATAAAGCAGCCTCCCTATACAGCACCCCACCCCCACTAGCTGGTCCAGGGGAACCCTTTGCAGCACCATCTGTATTTATAGCTAGCCATCCTTGAAGGGGTCCAAGCCACTTAATAAGCCTTTCACTTCTTCTTCTTGGTAAGGATCCATCATTGTTTCCCCCATCCCCTAGCACACGCCATGCTTCTTCAAATCTAGCAATTAAAAACTGACTAACATCTATAGGATTGTCATTGCTTTTGAGAAACACAATGTTGTTTCGCCATCTCCAAATCCACCAGCATCCAGTAGCAAAATAGGTAGGCCAAATCTCAGGAGAGTAATCGTTTCTAACCTGAATTTTTATGTTACGAACCACCCATTGTTGCAAGTTTCCCTCACGGAAGCTTCTAATACTAGCAGGACCCCCTACTTGTTTCCATATATCCCTAGCCATAGTACAATCACGGAGGAGGTGAAGAATAGTATCATCCTGGCTATGGCAGATCGTACATCTAGGATCATCTGTAAGGTTCCTCTTGAACCTGTTAACATTAGACATGATACAGTCATGAAGCACCAACCAAATAAAGACCCTTATTCTTTGGGCCACCCTAAGTTTCCAGGCAAGCTCCCAACTTCCATCATCTATTACTTCGTCATCCTTCTTAATAATTCTCATGGCTGATTTGATGGTAAATCTTCCCTTAGCTGAACCACCCCAGTAAAAGAGGTCACCTACACTAGAATCCAGCTGAATAGTGTAAGCTTCAATCCTTTGAAGTGTATCACCAGGTAGTAAATCCGCAAAGTTTTCCCACTTCCAGCCAAGCTCGTTGTCCCACATCTCATTCACCGTAGCACCCTCTATATCAGGAGGAATTTCTCCAATAACAAGACTTCTTAAGGTATGGTCACCCACCCACTTGTGATCCCAGAAAAGAATATTAACTCCATTGTTCACAGAAATTCTCGCCCCTTCATGCATGTGCACATCATTTTCTGTTATTCCTTTCCAAACGTTAGACATTTTTTATTTTGTTTCAAACATATCTAGATCACACCTACCCTTACAATATTTAGCACGCAACACTGTGGACCATAAAGAGTGAGGCTCAGTAAGGACTCTCCACCCCAACTTAGTTAAAAATGCAAAGTTAATGTTCCTCGATGATCGAATTCCTAGGCCTCCTTGCTCCTTGGGTAATTGTAGCTTCTCCCAAGATAAGAGATGTACCCTGCGATTTTCCTCACTTCCACCCCAAATAAATCGTCTCGTTCTTTTATCTACATCTTCACAAATACCCCTAGGAATTTTTGCAGTCTGCATTACATAAGAGCTCATGGTGTTTAAGGTTGATTTTGCTAGTGTGATTCGACCCGCAAGAGAAAGGAACTTTGATTTCCAGTCTGATAGTCTCCTATTAATCCTTTCACAAAGAAAGGCAAAAGTATTCCTCGTTACCCTACTAGTGAGCGTTGGCATACCAAGGTAAGTTCCAAAGTCCTCAGTTTCGACAATTCCCAAGGCTGTGCTCACCCTGTTTTTGTCTTCAGGGAGCATGTTATTTGAGAAGAATGTACGTGATTTACCGTAGCTTATCCTCTGGCCAGAGGCACCACAAAATCGAGCCAAACACTCATGTATAATGCTAGCTTGCTCAACCGAGGCTTCCGCAAAAAGGACAATATCATCAGCAAAACACAAGTTGGACAGTTTTGGACCATTTGGGTTTGCATAAATCGGTTTTCATTTATTTCTAATAATGGACTCCTCTATTATTTGGTTAAGACGCTCCATACACAGAGCAAAAATATAGGGTGATAAAGGGTCACCTTGACGAATGCCTCTTTCCGGTTTGAACTCTCTTGTTGGATCACCATTCCATAAAACTCGCATTGAGGATGTAGTAATACATTCCATAATAACTTCAATGAGAACAGGGGGAAATCTGATTTCAAGTAAAGTGTCACGGATGAAATCCCAGCAAAGACGGTCATATGCTTTTTCAAAATTGATTTTGATAGCCATAAAGCCCACCTATCCCGATTTGTTTTTCATGGTGTGAAGGACCTCTTGCACAATTACTATGTTGCCAATTATCTGCCTTCCTGGAACAAAGCTAGTTTGGTTATAGGAAGTAAGATGGGGCATCATTGGTTTTATATGGTTGACTATAGCCTTAGTTATGAACTTGTAAGCTACATTACGGAGGCTGATCGGCCTAAATTGCGAGGTCAATTTCGGAGAGTCCACCTTTGGTATAAGCACTAAAAAGGTGTCATTCAATTTTTCTGGCATCCCCTTCCCTTCTAGAACGTCCAAGGCCACCTTATAGACATTTTCAGCCACTAGGTCCCAGTGTTTTTGGTAGAAAAGAGCCTGGAAACCGTCAGGTCCAGGGGCTTTTAGAGCACCCATATCTTGAACTACCTTATCGATTTCACATTTAGGAAAAGGGCGAGATAGGAACTCCCAGTCTCTAGAAGTGAACTCAGGGAAAAAATCAGATGGTAGGTCAGCCTGAATAGCCTCTTCATCTTGCGTGAAGAGCTGCTGGAAGTACCGTACAAAATGCTCTTGCACTGCCTCTTTATCGTGAAGCCATTCTCCATCAACACCTTCTCTAATTGCTGTAACTTTATTTCTCCGATCCATCTACGCGCAATAGTGCTTAGGTGAAAGAAAGTAGTATTCCTGTCTCCATCCCTTATCCACTCAATTCTTGCTTTTTGGTACCACAAGAGCTCTTCCTGTTCAAGCACTTCATCCAATTCAAGATGTAGTTTTGCTTCTAACTTAATTAATTCTCTTGATTCTTGCTGGGATAGGGCCTTTTGAACACCTTCTATTCATGCCATAAGATTTCTTTTTTTTTTTTTTAAATATTATGGAAGACAGATTTGTTCCATTCCTGGAGATCACTCGCAATTTTGTCCAAGTGAGGAATTAAAGGGGCTTGTTTATCCCACTTATCTTGAATATAAGATCAAAACTTCTCATGGGTCATCCAAGCTGCTTGGAATCTGAAAGGTTTGTTCACAGAGACGATCGGGGCAAAGCCATTAGGAGATATTAAAATTGGGTAGTGATCCGATTGAACAACTGGGAGGATTTTAGAAGCTGCATTTGCAAATCTAAGACTCCAATCACCATTACATAATGCACGATCAAGTCTTGCAATAGTTCTCGTATAGGTACTGTTACCTCTAGCCCAAGTATGCGAGGGGCCGCTAAATTCAACTTCTAGGAGACTCATATCCTCAACCAATTCGTTAAATCTCGCAGACCTCCTCGAAGTCTCAGCACAACTTGAGCTGCTTTCCCAGTGTCGTTGAAATCACCAACAAGAAGCCAAGGTTTGTTATGCGAAGAGGCAAATTCCTTGAGTTCACGCCATAAATCTGATCTTTTTGTCGAGTCAGGGCTAGCATAGACTGCTGAGAAATACCAGGGAGTTTCACCAACTCTTTTAATTTCAATGGAAATATGCTGGCCATGCTTGATAATTGGCTCAACTGTTACAAGATCAGCTCTCCAAAAAATCCAAATACCACCACTAAAACCTTGGGCATCGACCCTAGTATGACCTTGGTACTTGATAACTTTAGCAATATTCTCAGCTTGTTGACCCCCCATATGAGTTTCAACTAAGGCAAGTACACAAGGCTTATTTACTCGAATGATTTCTTTTAAAGCTGTAACAAACGCTCGATTCCCCGCTCCTTGCACCTTCCAAACCATGCAAGAAATCGGAGTGGAATTGGGGGCTAAGTTCGGAATTGTATCTCCCATGGAAACTGGAATAGAAGCAATGGAACTTAAATAAGCATCAGATAACAAACGGATTAACTGATTAATCTCACTACGAATTTGTAGGGTGACCACCAATTCCATGGGTTCCGGAATCGGTTCCACCCAAGAGTCCATGTAGACCTCCATTATGTGAGTCAGGGGGTTCGCAATGCCCATGTATGGGGACTCCATTGGTTGTCCAACACATAGTATCTTCATTGGGGGGGATCTCTAAGAGAATTACATTCGAAGGTGGGGGAAATATGTAATTGTTCATTAATACTCTCAGTTAAGGGCACAATTTCTTGGCTTCTTTAACTAGCTTCTGTTACTTCCTGATTCGATTCTTCACTTTGGCTGCTTAAATTATTTTCTTTTCCAGTATTTGGGTTCTCTTTAATAATTTTCCTCGTGGCTTCTAGGTTTGTGATAGGGGCTAGGGGTAATACCGAACTCTTGGCCAAGGAGTGAAGTCTATCTTGAGCAACTTTAGACTTATTTTTAGTAGGAGTCCAAATCTTTTTTCCATGATTATCTTTTCCCATAGCAAAAAGGAATATTATTTGATAAAGGATTAGCAATATTTTGGGAATTATCTCCTAGACTAATTGTAGCAAAGAGAGGATGTTGAATACCATATCTTTTTCACCTTGGTGTGATTGACTCAAAGAGGTCTTTTCCTGATTGATCGCCTCAGAATTTCCTTCCTGATTCGGATTGACATTGGCCTTGATTTTGAGTATCCTTTTTCAAACTACTACCGTCAATCTTTCCGTTCACCGGAGCCGAGCTTTCTGGTTTGGTGTATTTCTTTCGAACAAGTTTTTTAACAAGCATCTAAGAACCGAAATCATCTACTTCTTCCGGCCTCCTCTGGGATAAAATTCGGTGTCCATTTTCTAATTGTGAGATACTTATCATCAATTAGCCATGGACCCTAAGTGAGCACAAAGTTATAATCATCAACATTATTAAATCTTGCTATAAAGTACTTACCCTCAATATCAGTAAGATTCATCTCCCCCTTATGTTGCCACTTTTTCTTTAGGCGTTTAATTAGACCCATATAACCAAGGCTACCATCAAGCATTCCAATGATTAAGGTATGCCTCCATGGTTTGCGCATGGCTTTCTTCTTTTCCTCCTTAGTCAGCAAGATGACCGGACACCTTTCACTATCAACCATATC